AAAGTTGTATATATAGCTTTTTGTATATTCTTTATATAATTAAAAAAAAAATAAATTATTAATATATAATCCCATATGCAAATACTAAAAAAATCCTGTTAGCAATATAAGCCACCTTAAATGTAAAAAAAAAAAAAAAAAAAAAAAAAAGAAAAGCTGAACTCAAGCTCAACTTAGAAAAATATACTTTTTGGATGAAATGATTACTTTTTTTAGGATATATTATAGATGCTAAAGGAATCTTATCAGATTTAGAAAAGATTATAGCTATACAAAATATCTTCTTTCCTACTAATGTAACTTAACTTTGCTTATTTCTAAGACTTGCTAGATATTATAAAAGATTTATACAAAGATTTTCTTCTATAGTCTAACTACTAAATTAGCTATTATATCTAAATACTAAGGCTATACAAAGTTTATTTTTTGGTTCTCATAACCCGGCCGGGTCAATATAGCTAAATCGGAAAATTAAAATTTATTAGGGCGCAGCATAGATTCAGCCAATCAAAATTAGCCATAGAACACACAATAATTAGTAACTAAAACTTACATAACCAAACCCTACATATGGGCAACTTTGCCACCTGGTTTCAAATAATTAGATACGTATGAGAGGCGATATAGGTTTTTTTTTCTATATTTTTTGGCCCCACTTCTTTTTTTTAGTCACGTGGCTATAATTTAAATTTAGAAATGATCGATTCATTTGACTCGCATTTGAATTTCTTTCGTATTCGAAAAAAAAAATGCATACGGTGGTATGATACTGGTAAGTGTAATAGTACTTTTAATTTTTATTTACATGTTCACTCAAGTTACTCAAGTTCTATCTACATATTTCTTTTCCCAGAATTTTTGGTCATATATATTTGCACGAAGGTATTACAAATCACAAAATAGCCGCAAAAACTAACTACGCATGGTAAAAAAGTTGATTACACTACATACACATACGGAAAAATGGGTTGATTAAAATTGAATATCGATATTGATATTATTAAATACATATACAAAGAAACAAAAAAAGAAATGATCGGTTAAAATTGAATATTGCTAATGCTAAATACAAATTTAAGTACAGGATTTTTTAGATTCTCGATCACTAATTGGTTTCCAACCATAACGCTTTTTTGAACTACCTAATCCAGTGCATTTATCACAAGTTGGTCGTATAGTTTTTGACGCCATCTTTTCTTTAGGATTATTAGAAACGCTAGAACTACTACACAGATAACAGACAAGGGGATAAATTTTTGCCGAGTAATATAGTTTTTCCATTGGAGAGGCACAGGTCAAAGAATCATTTACAAAAACTCGAGTAAATAGCTCCTGAATAGGATCACTATAATTTGAAGTGTTATTAGGAAGATCTTCACATTCGGTATCACTATGATCGATGTCCTCATCTTGGCTGTTTTGTTCTTCATTTTCATCAAGTTCAACATTATTTTCATACATATTCTCATAGTTATCGCCATCTTCATCACCGCCTTCATCATCATCTTCATTGTTGTTTTTATCGTCACCATCATATGTATCAAAGGATTCCAGAGGCTTTGCTGATGTTAATTCACTAATATTTTTAAATGTTATTCCACAGGAGTATAAGATCGTCTCTAGAAATTGCTGAAGAATATTGCGATCCTTATTTGATAATTTCTTTGAACTAAACAAG